ACACACACACACACACACACGCACACACACGCATTCACACACTGATGGTGGTAAGCTACATTGTAGCCACAGCTGCCCTGGGGCACACTGACAGAGGCAGGGCTGCCACACACCGGCATCACCGGACCCTCTGACCACCATCAGTAGGCAAGGTGGGTGAAGTGTCTTGCCCAAGGACACAACAACTGAGGCAGCTGGACAAGGGATTGAACCGGCGACTTCCCGGTTCCAGGACGACTCTCCACTTCACCACAGCCGCCTGATATGAGAGTTCACTCCTCCCTACGATAAGGAGCAGAACTGAGGGAGACACGAAGAAAACAAACTAGCAATCAAAAGAAAATAATCAACTTGATTTTATTTATTGATCTCATTTTAATTAATTGTGCTATTAATTGACTTATTGCTTATCGCGGCAGGCCTAATTTCCAAGAAGTGTTACTACAACATAGAAATAATCATCCAAACACATTTTAAAGGGCGCAAGTGCAACTTTTGCGCCATGTTTAAATTACTGCGTAAATTTCTGAGAATATGCTACAGAACGGAACGTAAGCTCACAACAAAATGGTTATATTCTAGTTAAACTTATAGAATAAAAACTGAGAAACAAATTAAACTATAAGCATTTAGATTATATTTTAAATGTCTAGAAATGAACTATAATTGCAATCATATGGACAAAAGAAATGTTAAGCAACTTTTTCTTTACAGAAATATTCAAACCATAAAAGAAACAATTTCACCTTTGTTATTTAAAAGAAGTCCCTTTTCAGTTAGTTTTATATTCACATGTCACATAATGCTTTTCCCTCATGGAGACCTTTTAACAAAAAAAAAAGTGACCACACAGTCCTAATGAAGGGGGGAAAAAAGCTTAGTAAATTGGATTTGGCCCAGCCTTAACCTCGGCCCCTCTTTATGTTGTGTGTTCTGTGGGCCAGGAGGCTAATTTAATTTGTTGGACAGAGAGATGGGGGACCGGGTAAATGCCGTCTGTCAGTCTGAAAGTTGCACTTCTGAGGCGGTACTGTAGGAACTACAGCTGGAACGCGGATGACATATGCTCACACGCTAACTGACGCTGACAGCTGTGTAACACCGAACCACTACATCACTGGTACATTTGTTAACAATGGGGGTGGTGGTGGGCGGGATGTCGGAAGTTTAAAATGACTTGTTCAGGAAGCTATGGCTGAAACAAAACAACACAATGACAGACCTGTGCTGACGGTTCATCGCTGCCACCATGAGAGCGGTCCAACCGAGCCGGTGTCGGTGATTTGGATCCACGCCTTCTTTTATCAGCCTGATGGGAAAAGAAACAGAAAACGGTCATTTTTACCACTGACACCAGCATACAGCAACGTTCTGACAATATAAAACACAGTGCTTGTAGTATTTCATATTTTAAAGCACACTAATGATGGCAGAGCAAAATTTATTGTTATATTTATGTAAAACTGAGACATTTGGTAGGGCAGTAAAAACCAGCACATATTGGTTTATGAGAACCTCCGACACCCAGTCTTTAACTGGTTAATGTATCTTTGTGAGCAAGCCAGGTGTGTAGGTTGTGTTTTCTGCCTCAAGCTATAACATCAGGTGGAATGGCACCGTCTCTGTAAGCGAGTGTGTAAGGAATCCTTCTGTCCTCTCTAGGGTGGAAGCGGGCACAGGCAGTGTTCGTGTTTACAGTCAACACGGTGGCCTCTGCTCTGCCCTCAGCAACAGCTCTCTCTGGTTTCTGTTTCCACTGGCTGTTCTGCATGAAGTACCAGGGACGGGAGGGCTCACCGGTATACAGCTGCAGATCAGACCTAACCCTGTTTCAGCTCAGTCAAACTGCAAAACTCTGACAAGTTCACAAACAGAAGAAAGGACAGCTCCAGTAATAAATATGACTACAAGACAGAATAATCATTTTAAACCATTACTTTGTACCCATGCTCTCCAGCTGAGGACCTGTGTTGTGTCATACCAGCATCCCTGTTTTTTTAATTATCAAAAGCTAAAGAAAACAATGTCAAACACAGTGCCATTCAAGTCTTGGATTATTTCTTTCGTATTTGTTCTCTGAAAGGCTTTCAATGTGTTTTTCTTTCTTCTTTCAACCTAATCTATGTAACTAGTGTTTCTCATGGTGGTGGGTTGCTTAAAGCTACACTCAATGGGCCTCATGCAAGAACATGTTCGTATTCTTATCCTAAATTTCTCTTACTTTTGTTCGTATGAAGGGTTTGTACGAACATGTCACGTCAGATTCAACAAACTCTTCTATCTTCAGGAAAAGTGTGTAATTGAGCTGCGTAAATTCCACTTGTTCATATCCAGCTGCTCGTGCACGCGAGAGGAGATTAGCATAATTACCACCCCAAAAACACCATTTAAGGCTATGTTTCCTGCCTTAGACACAAGGAAG